AAAACCGCGTCTAGATTGGCCACGGATGCTTTTCCACAAAAAGTGCTTTTGCGGAAAAACATCCTGCCAATCTAGACGCGATTTTTCCGAAAATGCTTTTAACGGAAAACTTTTCCGTTAAAAGCATTTTCGGAAAATCATGCCAGTGTAGACGTAGCCCTGGTGTTAGATTCGGAGGGGGAGGGGAGATACACCCTCTGTTGCGCTTGTGAGGGGTCCTCATGGCTCATTCCCCACCCACCTTGGCTTTGCCCACTGCCTCCAGGACCAGCTGTCTGACTCGCTGCTAGGCTGGGGTGTGCCCAGCACAAAGGGGGTTGGGTTGGGGGCAAGGGGGCTGCCTGATGAGGTGGCAGATTGGCCACCGGGATGAACTAATGCAGGATCCACTCTTCTTACAGGGGTCCAGGAAGACACAGGCCCCAGGGGAATCCGCCGGGCATTGCGGCACCAGACCTGGCCATGCCCAGTCGTAACCTGCCCCTGGCACACCGTCAGCTGGCAAAGGACGCCCGGCTACAAATGCTGCTCTATGTGTCTCAGCTGGGACATTCACAGCCCCTCAGCTTGCAGAGGGGGAAACCGAGGCACAGAGTAGTGACTTGGCCAAGGGCCCCTGGTGAATCGTGGCAGAGACTCCTGCGCGACCGAGGTCCAGTGTGGGACAAGGACCCGAAGGGAGCGTGTGCAGGAGACATAAGCCCCACACAGGGCTGGCAGAACCAGGCTGTCCCGTGGCAGGGGCAGCTGAACAAGGGGGGGGCCCTATGTCAGGAAGGCAGGTGGGCAGGTGCAAGCCAAGAAACGAGCTGTGGTGCTGCCATACAGCTCAGAGGTGCCCTTAGCCCGCAGCTGGAACACGCCCCCATCCCAGGATGCGCCAGGGAGGTTTGGCCACGTGGCAGATCTGGTCTGGCTGAGCCAACTGCAAAAAGGGGGCTCCAGTCTTCCTGGCTCTTTGGGAGAGGCCGGAGGGTAGGGGGCACCAGGAGCGTAGCCCCAGCTGAGCCAGGGAGGATCACAGAGCCGCCAAGCCCACCCAAATCTGAGCAACGGCGTGACCATGCGGCAGGTGATGACTGGAGCCTGGGGGCAGCAAGGGGGCGGGACGCCAAGGAGGGGCTAGCAGGCCCTCATTGCCCAGCTGCCTGGAGCTTGGGGCCAACATGCCCTCTAATCTTGTCCCTGTGTGGAATAATTAATGTGCACCAAGGGATGTGCCCATGTGCACCACCCACCGAAACAAAACCTAGCGGCGGGGGGTCTACTGATCAGCTGGGTGGCCTCTGGATCTCGGCTGAGTGGTCGCACAAGCACCCAGCGGACAGCAGTGGTGGGCAGCCCACCGGTGGCACGAGGGCCACGGAGGTTCCACCTCTGCCTGCCCCCCCACAGCCCTCGTGCACTAGGGCCTCGCACTTCCTCCTCCTCCTGCCTCCCAGCGCCTTGCTTAGGGCCGTTCAGACTCTGGGAGGGACGGGGTGGAGGGCGAACCAGCAGATTCGTGGCGCTGCCAAAGCCGGGGGGGGGG